ACCTCAAAGTCAAAGGTCCTCAGGTCTCCTCTTTCAGAAATCTTCCCATCAAAAAAACAAGAAAGAAAAGGAAGGAAAAAAGGAAGGAAGAAAGAAAGAAAGAAAGAAAGAAAGAAAGAAAGAAAGAAAGAAAGAAAGAAAGAAAGAAAGAAAGAACCACTAAAGGCACAAAATCCTAATGTATAAATTTGAGTTTATTAGTTTTTAATATACGTTTGTCTTATCCCTACCAAATTCATACAGCCTCTAGACCAGGGGTGTTAAAAACTTGTGGCCCGCACCCCAGTGGTGGGTTGCAGGCAATACGCCCCGGTACGGGCATACCGGAGCCTGACCGTTGAGCAGCTGGAGCATTACGGAGGCTTGCTGAGGTGCTAAGATGCACGTGCGTGCTGTGCGCGCCCATGTGGACACTGCTGGGCCCTTTCCAACCGTATCAGTTGGAATGGGATCCAGAACCCACCACTGCCATACCCGGATGCGTCATGTGCTGGCCCCGCCCGATTTAGCAAAGGAGGAAAAAGTTCTATTACATCATGTGATGACGCTGTGACAGATGAGTTTAACAGCCCTGCCCTAGACACTAGGAAAGGGTCTCTAAGTCAGCCTAGGATGGTGACTTAGAGTTGATTGCCATTGGTGTATGTATGATAAAACTACATTATCCAATGGCTTCATATCAATGTTAAAAACTTGAGGAGATAGGATTGGCCTCTATGGCACTTAAGAAGTGAGTGACCATAAGTAACTTTTCCTTTGCCTTGACTACCAATTGGAGGAAGGTACAGAATCATGGAAAGGCGGTACTATAGAAAATCCAGAAAAATACCATGACTGACAACAACAAATGTCTATTGGTATATGTCAATGACCTTGGGAGATGGGGTGAAGAGATACTAGAGATGATCAGAGTAGAGAGAGTAGCTACATAGAATGTGGAGCAAGAGACTCGGAAGTGACTTCCCTAAATTCTTGATTTGTAAAGGTGATAGTGGAAAAATGGTACTTTCAAGCCTTTGTTTATGTAGTTTTACAATAATGTAGAATCAGCATATCTGGTTGTGTTTCCTATTCAGTCTACCTGGTAAGGCTAACATCAAACTTGCAAATCTGAAAGTCACAGCAATTTGTGAATGAATGTGACCTTATTGCAGACAGACCTGGCATTTACTATTAGCACTTTGAAGTCTTACATATTATGTTAGAAAACCATCTACATTAACTGCACATATAGGGGGAAATAGTTTGCAAATAAGAATTAACCGTTTTCTAGACCATTAAAAAGATATCATTCTACTTTCAGGTGATCAATATAAATGCAAGACTTATCTTGCAAGACTTGAATTAAGTAATTCAACTATCTAAATAATTTACCCATATTGTTTTCCAGCCAGTTAGTTAATTATCATATAGTTTCTAAAATTTATTTTAAAAAATCAAATTGTGTAAGAAAGAGGAAAAAAACACTTCTTATGCAGTTTTTGATTTTTTTAAAGAAAGAAATGTATAATCATTTATCTTTAAAAACAACTTTAATTCATGACAATTTTTTTTATCTTACTATGACCCTGTAATCTTTTGCTTCGGTAGGGGGAGGTCAGGGAGACTGAATGGAGCTAAGTGTTTACTGACCAGATGCCCTTTCTGATGCCTACACGAGGTTCACAGCACATATTTTCTCTTTGCATTCTGACAGAGACACATCTGTTGCTACCTAGGATTGAACTCTCAACCTTCCGAGTGGGAGGCAAGCATCCTCACCTCTAGGCCACCATACTGCCTAATGTTCCTAAGGACAATCATCATTTAATAATTTGTAAGTTAACATGTGTAAGAGGGACATTCTTGCCTCATTGCCTTCATTCAATGCCTTTTTGATGTCTCACATCGACATATTAACTGCAGGCATTTATTTGCAAAGAATCCATGGTTAGTTTTTGCACTTAAAGCTACTTGAGATAGTACTCCTTCATTAATAATTTTGAATATTATGTAAATATTGGGTGACAAAGGGATGATATATGGAGATAGACTTAAAAAGGCCTTGCTCTTCTTTTGATATATTATGTTAATATATTAATAAGCATATACTCATCACCTTATCAGAATGACTTGTATGTTGCCACATTGACCAAAAGGCATGGACTTATGAACCATTGATTAATACTAAGAGTTCAATCAGTGCTGGCTAAAATGGAATTAACCTGATTCTATCCAAGAATCAAATTCTAAAGCAGCATTTTTTATTTTGTTGTTGTGATGAATACTGTGATAATATCTGTCAAATAGACTAAGGACATTCAGAGAACGCTGCAATTCTACAGGTATACTATATAGCAAACAGCTTTTGCATTGTTGCCATGATAAATACAGGTATTTATCCATTTAGAAGTGTACCAAGTACGCAGTGGATTAAGTAAAGCAAGAACCACACATTTACCCATTTTCTTTAATTTTTTTAAAAAGTAAGCAAACAAAATGTTGTGCTTCCTTGAATACCAAATAAAAATTTTGTGTAAAAGTGTACATAAATCTCATCTCTTCTTTACTTTTGAATAATACTGCATATACTTCAAAAATGAGCATTATTGTTTCCTACTGCACATCACAAGAAGTTATCACAATGCCATTGCTCTTTATCATCTTCACATTTTGTCCCAGAAAAACCCCTCCATAATTAGAAAATTGTAACCAATTTTCCAGCAATACATTAAAAAATAAGTCTAAGAATTGAATGGATTAAGTAGTAAATATGGAAATTAACAAGGACAACAAATAAGAAACATTGCTTTAGACCATATCAAACCACATGAATGTGTGTAAAGCTATTGGTGAATAGCAGCAAATAGAAATCATATTCATAGAATAGTTCTTGAGTTGGGGCATCTGTATGAAAGCAACATTCTATATGTGACAATCCATATCAGCGAATCATCTCAAGACAATGAAAAACAGATCCTCTTCATGTTTACCAGATAGGAAGGCCTTTTAAACACAATGGAATTTATCTGTGCATAGGACTGGTCTAAAGGTTTCTTTAATTTTAAAGACAGGTTACATTACCTGAAAAAAAACAACACTATATTGTGATTAGTAGATGTGGCAGCAATAATTTTTGAGACAATTACTTCACATTTTTGAAAATACCTATACATAAATAGTTAATTATTTAACTACTTCCCATAAATAACCATAGATTACCAAAGAATTTTTAATTACAGATTTGTATCTTTTAGTAATTCATGTAATAATAGAGACTCATGAGGAGATTCAGGAACATAGAATACAGACTACCTTCTAAATTAACAACTTGATTTGTTTTGTTTATTTTTTTAAAAAAGCCTGGTACTTACCACATCTATAACTTGAAAAAGGCAATGCATAGATTCTAGCAATGGGAAATTGTCTATGAAGAAAATATAAATAGATAAAAAGTCAATAATACAGATTTATCACATATTGCTGTCAAGATAATTCAAAAGATCAAAGCATGCATATGATGTAGAGACTGACTTTTTTTGGTTCATTTTGAATCTATACAACCTATGTGGTTAGGGATTAAACTGCAAAGGTGCATGAAAGGGTTCTTTATATTGCACCTTTCTTCTTCCTTGAATAATGAGATGTAATTATTTCAATAGGTTTGACAGGAGAGATGAAGACTAATATAGAGCATATATGAATATGCTTTTACTGCACTAAAAGTACATGTTTTTTGGTATGTATGAAACTTTCCCACTTTGTATCATCACCCACTTCTTCAGAATTTCTTCTAATAAAACATCTGAAGCATATAATTCATTGTAGGTTTTTTTAAAGTGACATACTATTTAAAGATTTTTAACTGAAACTGTCTGAATGTTTCCTGCTTTGGTTTTTAATTGTTTAAACTCAGCAATATAAGCATCCATGCCGATAAAATTCAATAATACTTAAATAAAATCAATGCTTCCTGTAGTAGTTGATCTGTAATAAATGATGTCAGACCCCAGAGTTGATAGTGTCTTAATATGGTTTAATTATTTTTAAATTTATTTTTAGATTAACCTTTAAAATAATTTTAACTACTGTGTTATAACTGGTGGATTTTTCCTAGTGTTATAGCACAAGAAACAATATAGGGATTTATTAAAATTAAGGAATTTATTAAATGCCTTATATCTACGTATATATCAGTTTTTCAAGTACAGTAACTTTTGCTAGCTACTTATGAAACAAGCCATATTTAAGCAGTTTCCTCCAAAAAAGCCACAAGTAGAATTCCCCAAATCTCTGGTCAGCTGATAAACATGCTAATTGGCATTGTAAGAATGTCAGACTGAAGAGATCTTGCATTACCAAGTTGGAGAAAACTGAAGACATAATTTCCTACCATTGTACTATGACTTTCTTTCAATGTCACATGCATAAACTGTGCATGTCTCTCTGTTAAAAACAAATCAAAAGTCAAATGCAAAACACTTGAGATAGTTTATGTAATCATTAGGATCAAACAAAGAAGAATAAAATCCATACACCAACACCTGGGAAATCAAACTCTATTAATATCACTAGCATCTTAATAGCTTTTTTATGTATAAAAATAATTTCTATGAGAATTCAGGAAAAATATAATTCAACTTGTCTCCATCACTTTTCTATAAGTATGTTAAGTAGGTCAGGCCAAAGAAACAAGTTTAAAGAATACATTTCCTCATTTACTTTTTATAAATAAAATATATATTCTGTAATCCTAAGGGAAACCATAACATGTACCATTATATCCATCACACTGACTCAGAGCTAGATCTCTCGTATTAGAATACATACATTGAAGAGGCCGCCGTTGAAACTCCAAAAGCTTCCAAGATGACTCCATGAGATGTGGAGTGTGTTATTCAAGAACAACACAAGTCCAAAGCAGAAATTGGATTCAAAGCGCTGAGCAGAAAAGCATGAAAACAGGCTTGCCAAATGTCAATGTTTGGCCTGGCCAAGGTAGGCTTGTATCATTTCTTTACTTATACAATACACAAGCATGACTGAAGGCTATCAGTGCTCCAGTAAACAACTCTGGTGCTCCACAGAAAGATTTAGATCAACATCCATGGTATTGGATCAGGCCCCAATTCAGGAAGTTAGGTGTTAAACAAAGCTACATATCTGAAGAAAGTACCCTTACAGATACTAAAATAATGACATTGTGATTCCCTTTATATACATACAGTAGAAGCTGAAACGGTTGGACATGCTTACAAATTAGAGGGTGTAGTAACTATACAACACATGCCTTAAAAAAGTGTAAACATTTTACCACAGATTATACAGATCCTTCTAGGCGCTATAAAAACACCAGAATCACAATATTACAAGTCATCACTAACAAAGAATTCTATTTCATTTTTATATATATTTATATATATTTATATATAATTGTTACTTATATAATACTTAAAAATCACTTTTAAACAATTATACAAGTTCACTTTAAAATTAACTTGTTAATAAAGTTGTGCAAAACAAGCTGCTTTCTATAATTAAGTGAAGGATTCGTTCATTTATTTATGTCTTCATTTTTACAAAAATAATAATAATAGTTCATTTAGAAATGTGTCTCTTTTTCTGTAATGGCTGAAATGTTGCCATCACCTTTCAGTTTGGCATCGTAGTCATTTGCTGTAGCAACGTATGAGCCAGTTCTGATCTTTCCTCTCATTTTCAGATCTGGGCTAGCTACAATCAGTTTTCTGAATCTCTGGAAAATAGAAAGCAAATTAAAAAAAACATTAAGTATTTCTGTCACTCTTAATAGTCATGCCAACTCAATAAAACCTAGTTCACACATATTGCTCTTTTAAAGCACAGGTTCTTGAGTATCAGAGTTTTAACATCATAATATATTTTGGTGTTGCATGTTGCAAACTTAAAACTATGTATATATTTATGTATGTATGTATGTATGTATGTACGTATGTATGTATGCATGCATGCATGCATGCATGCATAGATTTGATTTGGAAGAGATATATCAGAAAGCATGGGAGGATGAATGCCACACCAGTCTATACCTCATTAAAGCAATCATGTCTCCTTCCAGGATTAGATAGCTGTAGTGACAGGTACAGTCAGGTGATGTGTTCAAAGCATGTTTGAAAGCACCTCTTTGGAAGTGAATTTGAAATAATTTGTTCTCCATTCATTCCATAATAGATTACTTAAGATAAAAATATTGTTGCTACGATGTGCATAAAACAACACCTTCACCTGTTCTAAATATTTACCAGCTAACAGTTTCCACTTCTTTTTTAAAAAAAATTTTATTGAACAGTTTTTAAAAAAAGATGAAAAGAAAAAAATATTTTATTTCCAATTTCCTTCTGTACAACATTTCCACCTCGGTATACCTCCATTGTAAATGTACTTTCCACCTCTTATTTCAGTTTCTCTTTGTCTATACATATGATACTATTACATACAGTCTTTACAATCCTTCTTTCCATTTATACATGTTTGTTCATCGCTACCTATACATTGTTAATTCCAAAATCCCGTGTCTTCTTCATTTAGTCTTTCCTTAAGCTTTACACCTGTCCGCTAGCCATTTGTACCACTCGTTCCATGCTATATAATATTCTGCTTCGTCATTTTCTTTTATTTCTTTTGTAAATTTGTCCATCTCTGCACACTCTAACACTTTCATTATAACATTCCCCTCTGTTGGTATATTATTATTATTCCAATTTTGTGCATATGCTATTCTCGCTGCCATTATGATATGTATAATTAGCAATAGCAATAGCAGTTAGTCTTATATACCGCTTCATAGGGCTTTCAGCCCTCTCTAAGCAGTTTACAGGGTCAGCATATTGCCCCCACAGTCTGGGTCCTCATTTCACCCACCTCAGAAGGATGGAAGGCTGAGTCAACCTTGAGCCAGTGAGATTTGAACCGCTGAACTGCAGATAACAGTCAGCTGAAGTGGCCTGCAGTACTGCACCCTAACCACTGCGCCACCTCGGCTCACAATTAAGTATTGTGTTTTTTTTATCATAATTCCTTGTAGGTATTCCCAATAAAAATAATTCTGGTTTAAAATCTATTTGCTGTTTAGTAATTTAGTAATTTATTCAAGCCATTTTCTTATTCTATTCCAATATTACTAGAGGCTTACTATATAGGACATTTGTTACTTCAATTTCTTCCCTCCCTCCTTCACATTTTGGTTTAAAAATGTTTCATGAAATATTTTTCTTATGCTTGTGAATTGACATCATATAAACCATCCCTAACAAGTGTTTGTATGCTGCTTAATCAATATAATAGAGGCTATTCATTTGTGGCCCTCAAGTGAATGCTGTGGAATAAGTCCTTAAATAGGCTTGTGATTATTTAAAAAACAAACTCCAAAGCAGTCCTCCTAAAATGTAAATGTGTTATTTGGGTAACAAAAATGTCCAATTTTGCCCCCTCCCAAGTTGTCTCTTGGTTTTTTTTTACACAGGTATCACCATAAATTAAATGAAGAGTAAGTTAATAAATTGACTGCTATCATCTGACATCTGCATTTGTTTTATCACAATAATAGGCACTGTGTGGAGTCAGAAGGTCCTTACTTCTGCAGTACTACCAACAGAAGATAAAGACTCAGAATTCAAAAAGATGTATATCCTAATTTTTCTTCCTAGGCTTCTACCTAGAACTGCTTCTCCTCTATTATATCAAACTGCTTTATAATAAAAATAAGCACCACCTCCATGATGGTTCCTTCTGTTTTCCAGAGTTGTACACAGATCCCCAAAGGAATGCAGACCATGGAGGAGAGAGCCATCATCCATCCAATACCATAACCCCAGTCCGGGTATATATATACATTGTTGTACTTCAAAGGTTTATATTTCACCAGGAAAAATATGAAGATGCCCTGAAATAAGGAAGAATGTGTTACGTATCCTTGAGAGAAAAAGAGAGAGAGAGAGAGAGAAATCTTGCTTAGAAAACTCCTTCATTCTAGTAAATTACTATAGCAGGTCTTACTTTGGAAGACAGACAGGCAGCATGCTATCTCTGCCGTTTTCTTCAATTCCAACACTTACATAACTTGCATCTGTCTCCTATTTTACCCAAAGGAACCAGATTTCACATTGAAATCCCAATGAGCTTTAATTTAAATAACAAAGACATAAAGACTTCTTTTCAATTTAGTCACAAGTTGCATTTGTGCAGATTGACTTGTGAGTAGAACATGTTTCCATTTGCATACTACTGAGTTGGTTCTTCTATCTTTCACAAACATTGCAATGTTTGCAATTTCAGGTGGCCTCAACCTGGACAAAAAATACCAGAACGTTCAATACGCCTCAAACTATTTAAAGTTTCAAATATTTACTTCTGGAAATAGCTAAATCACAGCAGTTTGATGTGTTTGTGAGGAAATGGAGTTGAGAATTCTGTACATGTTTTGCTGCAGTGGCATTTCTCTCATAAAGCATCAATATAACAATGTGTATCTTATATATAAACCTTAATTCACAATAGATAAAATGTACACAACCATACATGGGTGCAGACAGAAATGCTTTATATCGTATGAATCTCTTGCAGAATTTGTGAAAACCCACACATAAATATGTATATACAGATTCACATGTATTTAGACAAATATATAAAATGCACATAAATTTCATATTAACTTTTAAAAATTATTAAACTGTTGTGAAAATTACCACAATCCTACATCACTGTTAATGTCAGGTTTTCTTTATTATTTTATCACTTCAAAAATACCTCTGAATCATCCATTTATATTATTTGCAACCTTGCATTTATATGTATGTATGAATGTATGTATGTACAGTGGAACCTCTGATCATGACCGTCATCCATTCCAGGACTTCGATTGCAACCCGACTTGGTTGTGACCGAAAGCAAGAAAATCAGCACATGTGCATACAAAAAAAAATCACTATGGCTGTGTTTGATCGCCACCCGAGTATTTGTTCACGACCAGATGCAAAAAAAATATGAAATTTTTGGTCGCCACCTGATTTGGTAGTGGTCAGAAGCATTTGTGTCCCGAAGTTCTACTGTATATGTATATAGGGAGTGTGTTTGCATATATTTGTGAACGAAATGGGACAACTTGCCATGGCCAGCTTGCTATGGCCAACTCACCATGGCTAACTCGCTGTAGGACAATTGTGGAACAATTCATTGTGGAACAATTTAATAATCTATTTAATAATTTAAAATAATTAAAAAAAACATTTTATTTTTTGCCATTCACGCTTCATTCTGTCCCTCCTTTTGCATCCTTTCTTTAATGACTCTATTCCACTATTTCTTTAATATTAGTGTAACTCTTGTCCTGCAGAGATTGTCCTGTGGTGAGTTTGCTGTCGCGAATTGTCCTGTAGCAAGTTGGCCACGGCAAAGTGGCTGTGGCGAGTTGACTATGGTGAATTTTCATAGACCCCTCTATGAATGTGTTTCTGTGCATGCTTGTGTCCATACCCACCCACATGAACACATTTATCTGTATGTACATATAAATCCATCAATTTTCTCTGGTATATTAGTGGCACCAAGTGAAATTGCTCATGCCAACAAACCAAGTTAGTTTTTCCCAGGAATTGAGGGCAGGATACAGCAAGATTTGGAGACAAGATTTATGTGAATCAATTAGGATTCAGTCCCCCACATCTTTGCCCAAGTGCTCATGATAGGCAAATTAGTAAACTCCTATGCCATGTAGGAAATGCCATATATTTAGATATAACTTAGATCTCTTATGTATTCTATCATTGCAATATGAATTAATGCACAAAGAAACAGTGTGGTTAAGGCATCAGCTTGGAAATTGGGAGGCCCTGACTTCTTGTCTTTAGGCATCAAGGCATCATCTGCATGACCTTGGGCCAGTCACTGTCTCTGAGCCCTAAGAAGGAGGCAATGACAAGTTATTTCTGAAATCTTGCAAAAAAAAAAATCAGGACCTGTCCAGGCAGCTATCAGGAGTAAACACTGATTCAAAGGTGCACACAGATATGTACACACACACACACACACACACACACACACACACACACACACACACACACACACACCCTAGTAGTGGGATTCAAATA